AATTACATAAGGAATTATAATTTGACAGATGGTTCAAAACAAAAACAACTGTCGAATCTCGCTATAACGAAAATAAATGATTGACAGATTTGTTTCTAAGATTATTTATTTATTAGATTCTAATTACTTGAATTACATAAGGAATTATAATTTGACAGATGGTTCAAAACAAAAACAACTGTCGAATCTCGCTATAACGAAAATAAATGATAAACATTTATTTTTTAACTCGGCGCAAGGAAAATTCGACAGTGAGCATGCATAAGGGCGTATACGCGATGATCGATTCTCTTCATCGATTTTCTCTTTGCATTGCTACAGCTAAGCGAAACAATTTTCTAGAATTTGTTCAATGCAGAGTTGTAACAGGTTGTATTGGCTATCAAAAGCAATAGCAAACGCACCGAGAAACGATAATTCTAGCGAGTTATTAACACAAGAGAAAATCGATCATCGTATTTATGCCCTTATGCATGCTCACTGTCGAATTATTTATTGTTTGTAATGTGCTTATCTTTCTATGCTATAGCATATGTAGGTTTTCATTTTTGCGTTAAGGGGGTATTCCCAATCTTGTGCCTTTTTTCGGCCTGTTTTTCAATTAATTTTTTTTCAAGGAAAATGAATAGTAATGCGCCTAACTCTTTGGGATTCTTGTTTATTGAACATTAAAGTTTACAAATAAATTTATTTCGACATAAAAAAAGACATTATTGACGTCACAAAATGGCGGCAAACAGACCCCTGTTCGCCGCAAACGCCTGGACGGGCGAAGACTTTTCTCTGGAACGGCTTCATCTGAAACAGATTTCGTGATGAAATTATAATCTGCATAAGATTCTCTGGAGCTTCTCCCGTTGGCAGCAAAAAATCTTGCAAATTAACAAAATGGCGGCCATATGAAAAAACAGACGATTTTTAGCCCACTTTTTTGCAGCTTTAAGGTGCTTCAAACAATGTTAAATGTTAATATTTTTGGCTGAAAGTGGGAGAAGCTCCAAAGAATTTAATAAGGAACAAAATGCGCAAAGATTCAAGTCAATATCTCTTATAGTTTCTGAGAAAAATCTTCGCCCGATAAAAAAAATGTGGTTTCGAGAAAAACGCGTTTAAAGTTTTGACTTTAGTTAAAACCATTTGGGGGTTCTTACCATTAGTCAGCTATGCCTGGACACCGAATTCGCTGATCGGAAAACGGCTTGGGGGGATGAAAGTATATAGTCTAAAGTACAAAAAAACGTGAAAAAAAAAAATTTGATTTTTTGAAAAAAAAGATCGGGAATACCCCCTTAAAATCTTGCATGTATGAGATTGTAAATCAGTGAATAATTGAGTAACACGATTCTAATCGATATTTACCATGACAGCACTGCCTTCGGCCCAATGACGTTAGACCTAATGATTTTCGGCAAAGCTAATAAATCAGTACACGGTCCCTAACCTCACTTTTTGTTCCCTATAATTTTTCCTGTGAGTTAAAGAGAACGGCAACGAATGGGAGCCAAAACAAACCACCCAAAAGTGTCAAAATTTACGGGTAAAGGCCCAAGCGCAATGACAGCGGAAGCGGGAGCGGAAAAGCCCAATCTGAGTAAACCAACTTGACGGATTGAAAACTAGTTAGAACTAAAGGGCCTGAATTTATAAAGAGACGACATGTCAAAATTGGAACAATCGATTGTCTGTCAAAGTCATACGAAACGTCATTCCAATCGAGCAGAAGACTTGTCAAATGGATAAGATGTCGCCTCTTTATAAATTCAGGCTCTTTAGTTAGAACCAAATCGACTTTGGTTAGGTATTTTGATGTCATTTGTGACAACTGCCAAACTTTCCGTTTCCGTTCCGCTTTCGCCCATATTGCGTTTGGACCTTAAGAGAAGAGTGCGGAAAATCTTCGTGGACTGATCAATGACCCAGCATCTATTAAATAGACCACACCCAACAAGATGCTGACGGTACCGGTCTCACATTTCAGAGTTTCAATTATCGCTCGTCTGCACAGGGTAGGTTGTCATCGTCATTTCCCATGGCTAATTTTCTGCATCAACAATTTTTTTCTGTCTCAAATGAAGAATGAAGAAGCTGCTGAGCTGTTTACTTTCTTCAACGAGAGCTGCAGTAGTTGCAGGGTTGCCAAAAGGAAATCTGTGATTTTTTTTCCAAAAAATCTTTTCATCTTATTTTCTGTCCTAAAAATCGGTGATGATATCTGTGTTCTTAGTTTATGAATTAAATCCATTAAACATGTTCTTAGCAAAGTGAAGCAATTTGTCTCATCATGAAACTAAAACTGATAAAAATGAATGTAATATAAATTACTATTGACTTAGACAAAAATGCGAGGGGGCGACTCTATGCAGGATGAGATGCAGGACACATTTTGCTTTGCTTTTGTAAGATGTGCTTAATAGATAGGATTACGATTGATGATGATTTGAAGATTTCCTGCAAAAAAGTGAAGACCGATGCGAGTAGATAGATTTAGATGCAAAAGAATAAAACAGATTTTTTGTAGATTGATTCGCTAGCATCAAATTTATCAACCATCTAAAATTGAGATTTGGATGTGTCGTACTCCTCACGAAAATGAATTTTGGAATATTTGATCATAATTTTAAAATCTGTGTGATCTTTTTAAAACCTAAAAATCTATGATCTGTGAATAAAGATTCTTGGTTTTTCATACTCTGAATAATCTGTAGAAGCCCAGATTGATCCACAGTTTTGGCAACCTTGTAAACCACACAGCATTAACAAGACACGTCCTCGTGCAACGCCGTTGCGTCGTCTTGGATGGTAGATAATTCGCTTCACTTTCCATTTCGTAGGCCTACCCACGAAGATATACATTTCCAAGAGATTTTCTTCGAAGAGCAGATACCTTTCTACTGCGGTCTCGCCACGAGGTGTCAGAGCATGGAAAATCAACATGAAATTGACCATTCTTTGTCGTTTCTTTTGGTTCGATGATGACAGTGACCAACAACGAACCGCAATGTCACTTATATCCGTACCGTACAAGCCCATCAAAGTAGGCAGGCAGCAGCATTTCGCTTTCATCGCCCTTTCGGTTGTTTAGCATAATCCGATATCCATATGCATGCAGGCGGTCATTTGTCGTGGCGCACTGCGATGATTTATGCGTGCTGTCAGATCGGTGCAAAACGCCCAAGCGGGCGAGAGGGTTATTATTAGATTGTGATACATAAATCGAAAATTAATAGGATTAGCTCGGGCCCGGTTCGTTAAATGAATGGTGGCGAGAAACCCGTCGGCGGATGGCGAAGGAAATTCAATTGATCAGGTTCCAACCGGCTGGCGGCCGGAACAGTTTATCTCAAGTCAGCAGAGGGAAGGAACTCGAATTAATCGTGCATTATTGATGCTGTCGTAAACGAGTTCTGACAGGTTTGTGATGCGCAAAGTTTATTGCCCTTTCTCTAGTGGTTCCAGCCAGGAGAAGACGGTGGCGACGACGGTGAGTGTGTTGTAAGAAATAAGGTGGTATTTAATGAATGATTTAATTGGCGTTGGATTGGCATTCAGCACCGGAGAAAACATACACAAGAAATGCGCACTGATTGCGGATGGTTGAAATTGCTGGTAGCTATGGTTAGTTCTTTTTACTTGCTTCATCGTGCCGATGAATGTTTGTTTTTCCCTGCTTAATGGCTTGGACATCTGTGGCACTGGTATTGCAGGAAAAACTTAATATTCATTAGGGTGTAAGTAATCATTTGCTCTGAGGGATTCGAATGTAGCAATTACGGTAGACGAACCCAGCAGCTATTGGGGGCTATAGGGCAGTAATGAATGATTTTACCTTGCCAATTACCATATGTAACTAGGTGAGGGGCGATTTTTGCACTGACCTGAAAAAAGATAGAAAGAAATGAAGATTTTAGATACGTTCTGTTTGTTTTGAAGGTTATGATAATGATAAGATTCTTTTTTGATTGCGATTGGAGAAATGGATATGCAGCAAAATGAATTATTGAATTCATTTCAAATCAAGTCCTGATAGTTCTCTCAATATTAGTGCTCATTTGGATGCAAACTCATACTGCACTGACCCGTTGGAAGTTTATTTGGATGTGCGCACCGCCGAGCACTATCGATACACCTTGCGACGTGAGCAACCTGCGAAACGCATGTAACCTTGATTCCAAATGTCAGTGAGGGACCGAGCAGAAAGGAATCGAAGGTGAGTGAGGCTGTGAACCATTTGTCGAGTTAAATTTAACTCGTGGTTAAAAGTGACATTTCGAAAGTTATTCTTGATGTTCGAAAATCCCTGTGCAGTCGATCGACCGGTTTTCGAGAAGAACTCAGCCACGGTTGTCAACATTTAACTTCTTGTCTGTCAGAAATAACCACGCTCGGATAGCAGGGTTAATCGATAACTTTCCATATGTCAAATTTTAACCAAAAGTTAAAATATTCCACCAAATGGTTTAAAGCCTGAGTGTGTGAGAATGGATAGAGTAGGATAAACAAAAGATAAACAAACTGAGGAAAATAGTTATCAATAACATTGTATGGCAAAAGCGCGTTGCATCAAACAATATTGAAGATATTAAAATTAATCGTTTCTATAGTTTAATCTGCAGTATAGGATTCGGTGAAGTAACCGTACCACTTTCGGATTTATCGTAAGTAAAATTATAATATAGTTTATGTGGAATTGTATTGTAAATTTATTGAAATACTGTTGGAAGGAAGGGACCAGATCTGGAGAAGACTGGTTACAGTTGTGCAGGATGCCAACTGCCGGATAGCGCCGAAGACGAGATGGTATTTTGTGACCATTGCCAAAGATGGTATCATTATGGGTGCGCTGGTGTGACGGACGAAGTTAAGGGTGCCTCCTGGTACTGTGAAGGGTATATTGGAGTAGCTGCGGATAAATCGGGTCCACCTGCGCTAAAAGAGGAGCAACGGCAGGCTTTGGAGATCGAAAAGATCCTGGGAAAAAGCGACTCGAACACCAGCGCAAAATGTTTTTGTTGCGCCAGCAAGTAGAAAAAGAGAAACGGGATATGGAGTTAGCGTTTGAGAAGGAGAAATTGGAACAGGAGTTAGCGGAAGAAGAAGCTCGCCGGAAGAAACGTGATCAAGTGCTGAAGAAGGTGCAGAACAAATTAAAGCTATTGAAGATCGATACGGCTGTGAAGATGGATGCAGGAAAAGGAAGCGGACAGGATGAAGGTGAACACGCATCGAAGAACGAAGATGAGAGGAAGAAGAAAACGAAGAAGGAAAAGCCAGTAAGAGGAAAGTTCGAGAAGGAAAAGTTGGAGAAACACCGCCTGGAGAAAGCTGATCCAAAAGATGCAAGCAAAGGAGACCCTCGAGGAGCGTATCGTAAATATTCTACTCCTAAAACGGCTGGTGGTGTACCTGGTTTGCTTTCCAGTTCCCACAAGATGAAAACCCCACTTGGGCATCCGGATTTGCGTACGAAGAAAATGAAGAGCAAGAAGCAGTCAATCGAAGTCAAGGAAAGCAGCGAAGAAGAAGATAGTTCCAGCGCCAGTGATGGAGAGGAGGAAATCGATTCGGAGAAGTCCGGATCAGAAGAAGACGAAAAGGATTCGGAAGAATCAGAAGAGGAGGAAAAAAGGTCGTCGGAAGAAGAGGTTGTCATCTAGAAGCATCCGAAGAATCTGCATCGTCAGCCATCAAAGAGCCAACTGTCGGCTCGACAACTCCTGGGGAAGAAGCTGCCAGTATTTTCCGGAATGTTGGAAGAGTGGCCGACGTTCATAAGCGCATATGAAACATCAAATGAAGCTTGTGGATTTTCCGACATCGAGAACTTGGCTCGGCTTCAGGAGTGCTTGAAAGGCCAAGCACTAGAGTCAGTGCGCTGTAGGTTGCTTCTCCCGAAAGCAGTACCGCAGATCATCGAAACCCTAAAAATGCTTTATGGGAGACCGGAGCACTCCGGTAACACTCTACAACGGAAGCTCTGCCGATGACACCATAGCTTTCCTGGACGACGGTTCTTCGTATACGTTGGAAAACTTATTGCGAGCAAAGGGGGTTGTGCAACCACTTCGAGTGACGTGGACAGCAGGAGTGACCCGATTGGAGAAGGATTCGAGAAGGTTGGAGCTCTTTATTTCCGCACGAGGATCGTTACAACGTTTTCGTATCACGGCTGCCCACACGGTCGAGAGTCTGACGCTACCGCAACAAACCGTAGCTTTGTCAGAAGTGGTCAACAAACATCCCCACCTTCGCCGTTTACCGGTGTCCGGCCTACACAGAGGAGTTCCTCAAATCATCATCGGCCTGAAAGACATCCATCTATACGCGCCCATCGAATCCAGGGTCGGTCGACCGGATGAACCGATCGCCGTCAAGTCGAAGCTGGGATGGACGATCTACGGACCTACCCATTCAAGCCACTCAGAAACGGGAATAGTTGGACATCACAGCTGCGACATCGTATCCAACAAGGATTTGCACGACCTCTTACGGAGTCATTACGCCCTGGAAGAATCTACGATTTCCGTAGTACTGCTTCCCGAATTCAGCGAAGACAAGAGAGCGAAAGAGATCCTGCACAGCACGACCATCAGAATTGGAATCCGTTTTGAGACGGGACTTTTGTGGAGAGAGGACGACCCACGATTCCCTAACAGCTACCCGATGGCGGTCAAACGGTTGCGTTGTCTAGAGAGACGGTTGGTAAAAGACCGTAGCCTGTACGACAAGGTAAGGGGGCCTATTATACTAAGAAGAGGTACATCCATGTAGCTTCAAAGTCTGAGCTAGCTGAGTTCCAACCGGATGAGGTGTGGTATTTGCCATTGAGTGTAGTGATACATCTGAAGAAGCCAGGGAAAATCTAGTTAGTGTTGGACGCTGCGGCCGCAGTAAATGGGGTGTCGCTCATGCTAACTACACTCCCAAGCGTATTATCGAAGTTCCGTGAGCGAGAAGTGGGTTTCGGAGGTGACATCAGGAAGATGTATCTTCAAATGATGGTCCGTAAAGCCGATAAGCGGTCACGATTCGTCTTCCGAGGAAGTTCAGCGGAGGAATTCGAGGTCTACATCATAGACGTGATGAAGTTTGGTGCGACGAACCTCAACGCGAGAGAGTATGCAGTGCAGTTTCCGGAAGCGGCAAGGGCGATCGTGGAGAACCACTATGTTCACGATTACTTCGACAGCACGGACACAGTAGAACAGGCAGTTAAACGATCGCAGGATGTGATATACGTACACTCGAAAGTCGGTTTCGAAATCCGGAACTGGGTGGCCAACTCCAACGAAGTTCTCCAGAGCATGGGGCAGCCAAAGGCTGCAAAATGTGTGCAGTTCACGGAAGATAAGGGAACGAGCCTAGAGCGAGTCTTGGGCATAGCTTGGTGTCCGAATGGCGACGAGTTCACGTTTTTAGCGAAGCTACGGGACGAGTTGATGCCGTACATGTCAGGAGAACGAAGACTCACCAAACGAGTAATCATGAGCTGCGTCATGAGCTTGTTTGATCCACTTGGAATGCTAGCAACGTTCACCATTCACGGAAAAATACTAATCCAGGATTTGTGGCGTAGTGAAAGCGATTGAGATCAACCGATCGACTAGATCCGGCCAGAAGATCGTAGGGCCCTCGTGAACCAGACGTTTCTGTAGACACTCCTTGAAGTAGATCTTCCCGTTTACAGTCCCGGTAGTCTCGAACGGCGCACTCCGTTTGCCACATGAGCAGATCGCTTGCTAAATCATGTATTTCTTGGCAATCTTTGAAAGTTTCTGCTTCCTCACAACCTCCGGAACATCAAATTTGTGCTGGGTGGTGGTGAAAAGTAGCCCCGGAAGCTGCCGGAAGTCCGCCTTGACGTAAGTCTCATCATGCATGATGAGACAATGAGGCTTAGTCAGCATCTGGGTGTACAGTTTCCGGGCACGTGACTTTCCCACCGTATTTTGCCGTTCGTCACGATTTGGAGTCTTCTGCACTTTGTACGTTTGCAGTCCCTCCCGGTCCTTGGCTCTCTGAACGAAAGACTTGGACAGATTCAACTTTTTGGCCACATTCCTGAACGAAGCATTGGGATTCCGCTTAAACGCTTTCACGACACGCTTGTGATCCTGATCACTAATAGAACATCCATTCTGACCGCATTTCTCCTTCCGTTCGATGCTCAGAGTTTCGTAGTAACGTTTAATCACACGACTCACCGTTGACTGCACGATTACGAGTTGTTTTTCGATGAGGATTTTCCAGGTGCTTGTACAAAATCAATTCGCAACGTTGCTTTTCGGGTGACGCCATTTCTTCCAACGTTCGAAAAACTGACAGCGATAAAAATACAGTGTAAACAATACACTCTAAACTACTACTACCCAAATTTTCAAGAGAAAATACCCAATGGGTAATTTTCTACAGCGTTTTTTTCCGTGATGCAATTTGATGTGGGACACCATAAATACGACCATGTCACATAAAGTTGGTATGATTTCGCGAATTTGTGGTTGGGCGCTTCTTATAATTATTGTTTATGCAGGAATGTATTTTCACTCCTTGTGATTTTGACAACAATAAATGTTCAAATTGACAGTATTCCGGAATGTTCTACTACTGATTTAGGATCTTTCTTTAAGAATGGCGCTGAAAGATGTTCTGAAACTATTCCAAACGGATTTGCTTCAGCTCAAAATGCATTGAAGCTCCGAACATTTATGACTTTCGTTATTGTGTACCATAAAAATAATCTCCCTCAAGTTGCTTCATTTCCATCCAATTACAGCTAAACTATTTGTTCTCATCTGTTCTCAAGATATAATTACAACAGACAAGACCCACATTAAAAGCTCATCCATGCCGTAAAACCTACCCGTGACAAAATGGTTCCAAGAGTCTTGAGATCGCATCAGCCGTTCATAAATCGCCTTCGTCAAATTGAGCAATTTTTCACTGGAATCACATACACACACACACTCATCAACTGACAGCAGACCGTGTAGAGATGTAGATACACAGATCTAGATCCTCCACTCTTTCGCCTGATTCATGTCTTTCCGCGTCTACTTAGATCTTTTTCTAATTTCGCATTACGTCGGTGGTGGTGGTGGGAGCGGCATCGTAAAAAAGCAAAATAAAACTCTTGCCTTATCTCGGAAACGTCATCTGGGGGGTTGCACTCTTTCAGCTGGGACTGGGTAGCCGATGAGCGGTAACCATTTATGCTAATTTGCCCCTACATCTCTGTGGCCACAGAAGCGCGCAAGATCGCATCGCATCGCATCATCGGGACGTGAGGTGGATTGAAACACAGAAGAAAGATCCTATAGAAGCCATTGCCTCTGGAGCACAGCGAAAGGGAAAAAGCACGAGTGCAATGACTCGGTTGCATAAAATGTTCATGCTGATAAGGTTCCTAATAATTTGCATTCGGCGACGACGATGACCGCTACGTGGAATCCAATAGTTTGCGGTGGGTCCGATTGGAGACAGCGCGATAAACTGTTAACACGTGTTGTACGGAACGATTTTTCGAAAAATTAACATTTCTCACAATTCGCAACTTGACATTTACCCGATCCAAGTCACCGCAGTCGGCCGAACAGGGAAATGCCTACTACGACGATCGGTCGATCGATCATTCACCCACCCGGCCGCCGGGTTGACGTTTCTTTCTACGCCAGTTTGACGGAAGTGGGTGGAACAAATTGAAAACAATACCACAGTCAACGGCAGCAGCGAAACGTCTCCCCTATTGATGTTTATTTGATTTATTGAATATCAATGGCAAGAGAGGAAGAAAAAGTTTCTTCTTTCTCTATCATTGTGTTTTGTCTTTTGTTTAGTGGCACCGATCGATGTGCATCGAATTTCAATCGGAGTATCACCGTCTCCCCGTCCCTGTGTCCCTGAGCGGTGACGGTTGAGTGATACCCCTATTTGTTTTCCCGGGTTTGTGTTTTTTTTCTTCTATCTGTTAATAAATAATGCCATTCTTGTTGCATGTTGTTGCAAGTTAAGATGCGAGACGAGGGACGATTGATGGCGACAATATTGGTATTTGTTTGGATCGATCGAACAGGGGCTCGCATTTAAGTGGTGGTGGCAGCGATGATGGCAGATTGATTTATTGATGTTATGGGAAATGGACCGGATCTGCTGGCGACTTTCGGTTGCTTTATTGGCGGCGGTGCGTGGTGAAATTTGTACGCTTTCTGTGTTGGAATGGACTAATGGAATCGTTGATAGTGAAATGGAAATCGTGAGGGGATGGCAGCTTTTGACAGAGCTTTTAACCACATAACATATGAGGAAGTTCAAAGAAAATGCCGTTGAAAAAGTGATTTTTTTTCTATCATTTCATAACTGGTTAATACGGACATCGCTCTGTCAAAACAACAACAACAACAAAGCTTATCATACCTACTAGTGATAACAATTTCAAATTTTGATTTTTGGTATTTTGGTACTAGCGATAATAATTTCAAATTTTATTGATGTCCAGTGGTTCTCGGAAACTTTGTTCAACGATGTTCTTATCTTTCTGACAAACATGAAAAGTCTGTTACTGACCGAGAAGCAACTTCGCCTAAACTTTGCATTTGCCGCCGCCGCACAGCATTACTTAACTATCACGACAAAACGGTCCTTTTCGAGACCACCATAAATT